ACCCCTCGCCCCTGACTTTCCCGCCCACCCTGCTGCTCCTCGGCTCTAAATCCCAGCTCCCCAGGCTGAATTCGGAGTGGAGCCCATCTCTTCCCAGGGCAAGATCCCAGTGCCGCGGCCCCCACACCCATCGTCGTGGCCCCCCTTGAAGAAAACCGGCCTGAGCAGATGTCATGAACATACACATTTTTTCTCTAACACTATTGCCAGTTGAAAAAACTGCAGCTCTAAAAAAGGCCAATGCCTTGTCCACGGTCCCATGGCTGGGTACCACGGAGAAGGGTGACCAGGAAATCCAGCTTAGATTTAGGGTAAGGAAAAAGGTGGCAGTGTGCTAGACAAGAATGGCCATGGCCTGTGGCTGTCACCTTACATGGCAAGCAGGAACTAAGGTTGCAGATGGAAAGGCTGCTAATTAGTTGACTTAAGAGACTCTCCGGGATCTCCCGGGTGGGCCCGCGGTAATCAGTGTCGTCACAAGGGTGCTGAGCTGGGAGGAGGGGCCAGGATGGTCAGTGTCAGAGGAAGCAGTGCGGAAGCCTCCACCACGCCGCTGGCGGAGGCGTCCACCAGCCACGGAGGGCAGGTGCCCCAGGAGCTGGAAAAGGCGGGAAAAGGGATTCTCTCCTGGAGACTCAGGAAGGACGGCAGCCTGCCCACACCAGATGAAGCCTCTGAAACCCATTCTGAGCCCCGGAGAGGAAGGGAAAAACGGAGAAGTGGAAGAGAAAGCATAAGAATTGAGTCGAATGTAGCAAAACAAGGAACAAAGATGGGGAGAGAGGGGGAGACGGGGCGGGCTGGAGGGCGGCGGCAGGCACGAGAGGGCGGCGGGGTCTTCACTGCCCGTCTGCAAAGAGCTTTGTGATCGGAGCGACCCGACCCCAACGGGCTTCTGCGTAGGAGTTAATGCCCCCACTTTAGAGATGAGGAAATCCAGGTTTTGGGTGTTGAAGTGACTCAGCCGAAGATACTTGGACTGAGGTGTAGGCACAGAAACAGCATGCAAACTGCCACATGAATAAGGCTCGCATTGCAATGGCTTCCGAATAGGTAGGTGCCCGAATTTTTATTTCCAAAAATATTAGCAATATTACTGAACACACACTGTAACACAAACAAAAATCAAATGTAAAAATCCTGGGCCAGTTACCCGACTCAGATCACATGTCACCTTCCTATGTTTTCACTGTACACACGTAATTTTGCAGTTGATTGCAGTATACACATAATTTTATATCTTTTTAGTTCATATTATAAAAATTTCTTATATCGCATCAGTCTTCATAATTATAATTTATAATGGCTGCCCGATATTTCATGAGACTGATGTATATAGTAAGTTACTAAGGGACTTCCATACTGTTGTCCCCAGTTACTTTTCCATATGAATAATGCTGTCACGAGCATCTTCGGGTACTTGTCACTTTTATTTTTCAAGAGCGCTCTCTTAAGATTAATTACTGGGATTGAGAATATGGATATTCTGATGATTCCATGTTTTCATACTATTGTGGTTGGAAAAGACACTTGACATGATTTCAATCATCTTAAATTTATGAAGACTTGCTTTGTGGCCTAACATATAATCCATCCTGGAGAATGTTCCATGTGTGCTTGAGAAGAATGTGTGTTCTGTTGCTTTTGGATGGAATGTTCTGTATGTGTCTATTAAGTCCATCTGGACAAGCGTGTCATTTAGGCCAATGTTTTTTTTTTTTCCGTTTTCTGGCTGGATGATCTAGCCATTGATGATTACATTGAAGCTATAGATCAATCTGAAGAAAACTGCCATTTTATCAATATTGTCTTCTAAAACATGAGCTCGGTATATTTCTCCATTAGTTTAGGTTTTTAATTTCTCTGAGCAATGTTTTATAGATTTCAGTATACAGGTCTTATACTTTTGTTAATTTATTCCTATTTAGTTTATTTTTAGATGCCATTTTAAATGGAATTATATTCTTAATTCCATCTTTAAATTGTTTATTGGTAGTATATAGAAATACAATTCGCTTACTTTGGTTTATTGATTTTGTATCCTGTAAATCTTGCTAAAGTTGCTTATTCTATTTTTTGATTCCTTATTTTTTTTACATATAGTATCATGTGATCTGAGATAGTTTTACTTCTTCATTCATAACCTATATGCCTTTGATTTCTTTTTCTTGCCATTTTCTCTGGGTAGAAGTTTTAATACAATGTCGGACAGAAATAGTGAAAGTCATGTACCTTTGAAAATTTTAAAAATTCGGCTCCTGAGACACTTTGAGCCCTACATGTTTTGCATAAAGAATTATAGATCTCTAGTGACTTCCGGGGTTCCTAGGGGGTGAAATGAGGACCACATATGATGTTTAGTGCACGGCTTGGCACATTCAGCGTCCTCATGGGGTGTTAGAACCTTGAATAGCCACTGGCAGGCCAGTCTCAGGAATCAGCACAACTTAGCACCAAGGACACAGACCTGAGTGGGCCGATGACCTGGTGGCAACCCAGAGCCGGTGTGGTGGGGGAGGGGACGCTCCTTTTGGTTTGTCCCCAGCATCAGTCAGCACAGTTTTCACCAGTGTCCCCAGGAATTTCTGGTGTGTGGGAGCACTGCCGGAGAACCTGAGTTTGAAGTGGCCAGGCCCAGGATGCCTGCAGATTAGTGAAACAGGGTCCGTCACATGGAAGGGTGGACTCGGGCCTGCTGAGTTGTAGTGGGGTTCAGCTGTTGTTGGGGTATGAGTAGTGTGAGGGGGTTATATGTTCTACCTCATTTTAAAACCAAGAGAAAACCATTATTTCCATGTGCATTGCTACCTCCTTTCTCAAAGGTTTATTCTAGAAGTTGAGCGATTATTCTTTGAGGGGCTGGAGTCTGAGGTATGAACAATAGCTGAGATCAGTCACATAAACAAGACGGACAGGGGACAGTATCATGATGACATCTTAGGGGCCCCTTCGAACTCTTTGGGGTTTAGCATTTCTCTCCTGTAGAGAGTGACCCATCAGCATGTGTGTGATCCGGCCCCACTGCCAACTTCCCTGGGGGACAGCAGGCCTCCGTGTCGCCAGCGGAGGCCACGCTGGTGACGCTCTCCTCACCGTGAACGAAGCCTGGAGACGGAGGGCCGCTTGATGGCCGTAGTTTTCACTGCACAGCGCTCCTCGCCGGTCGGCTTGAGTGGAATCTCAGGCACATAAAAGGCATCCTCCGTAACCAAGGCATCCTCAGTAACCAAGGCATCGTCAGTAACCAAGGCATCCTCAGTAACCGAGGCATCCTCAGTAACCGAGGCATCGTCAGTAATCGAGGCATCTCCTTCCGACCTAGCACGTGACGCGTTACAAAGATCTAACCAAGGAACGTAACGAGACAACTTAATTCCAAGGCATCCTCCGTAACCGAGGCATCCTCAGTAACCGAGGCATCCTCAGTAACCGAGCAGCCTCCTTCCAACCTAGCACGTGACGCGTTACAAAGATCTAACCAAGGAACGTAACGAGACAACTTAATTCACACTCTTTATTTAACGAATGAATTATAAAAGTTCTGTGGCTTTTTAATTATGATCATCGCTCAGGTACAAAGACCGGCATCACCTGGCACAGGCCCCCGAAGGGCGAGTCGATGTTTCTCTGAAACACGTGTGCTCGTCAGAAAGTCACACAAAGGGGCTTCTTCGTGGAGAACCCGCAACACACGGGGCAAACGTGACGATCTGAGAGGCATCCTGTCTGGGTCAGTTCCTTCTCGTCACACATTTGTGTCTCATCTGAACGTCCAAAGCCAACTCCCGAGCCGTGTGCAGCAGCCACCCGTGGAGTGACGCCTCCGTCACTGCAGCAACAGGTAGTTTTCAAAGGCGCAGACCTCGTGCCGAGCGATGGAATCTAGAGGGAGAGAAGCAGTCGGGCATTCGTCAGCGCCAGCCACAGTGGATAATGGCCTTTCC